TGGGGGCAGTAAGAAGACAGCCATTCTTAGACATTGCCGGTGAGGTATAAATTTTTTATATATATATTTTATCAATTTTGTACAGAGAGGAAGGGAGAGAGATAGAGAGTTAGAAACATCGATGAGAGAGAGTCATCGATCAGCTGCCTCTTGCACACCCCCTACTGGGGATATGCCCACAACCAAGGTACATGTCCTTGACTGGAATCGAACCTGGGACCCTTCAGTCCCCAAGCCGATGCTCTATCCATTGAGCTAAACCAGTCTCGGTGAGGTACAAATTTATATGATCTTTTGAGCGAATACTATAAATTGGTAACTTCAAAGAGATTAAAAAAAGTTCCTACTTTCTTATCCAATAATTCTATTTTCTAGCTCAAGAAAATTCTGAGAAATATGTACAATATTTTCTGCACAAAAATGTTCATGCCATGTCATGTATTATATAAAAAATGGAAAGTACTAAATGCTTAATGTTAGAAGGTAATGGTTAAGTAAATTACAGTTTATGACATGAATACGGTATAATGTAGTTTTTAGAAATGAAAATGTCTGCATTGTGTGATTACTGAAGTATTATATATATTATTTATATAATAAAGTATTATATAATATATTAAAATATATTTTATTGATTTTTTTACAGAGAGGAAGGGAGAGAGATAGAAACATCAATGAGAGAAACATCAATCAGCTGCCTCCTGCACACCTCTCCCCCCCCCCCCCACTGGGGCTGTGCCTGCAACCAAGGTACATGCCCTTGACCAGAATCGAACCTGGGACCCTCAGTCCTCAGGCCGACGATCCATCCACCCACCGAGCCAAACCGGTTCCGGCTGAAGTATTTTATATTTATTTGCTCATTGAATCCTCACTACCATGATCCTGGGTATTTTTCCTTGGTCCTTCCAGGTGCACCCAACACTATTCTCTAGCCTGTTCTGTCCCCTAAGGGTTGCCCTGTAAGGACTCATTAACAGGCTCCCTTGCCCTGCAGCTTCTGGTTAGGGTAAGTCAGTAGAGAGGACCATCAGGAGACAGGAGGGAGGGAGAGTTGGGTGGTTTTTGTCCTGGCTCCCCCTCTGAGGGGTTCCTGTGGGCTGAGGGCCTCTCTGAACTCAAGAACACAGCTTGAACTAGGCAGTCCTTTCTCCAAACCAGTATTGCCAGGTTCTGCTCACTGCTCTCTCCCCTGTAGTAATGCTTTCATGCTGTCACCAGTCTGGATAACAGCACAACTCCTTGTGGTTTCTCTCCACTTTATCTACTTCTTTTAAAATACTTCCTTTAAGATAACGATTTTCAAATGATCTGCAGTTGGCTATTTCCTGCTGGAATCCTGACAGAACAATTTATGAGACTGTATGGTGAGGAGATAGGCAGAGAGAAGTTAGGTAAGTTGCCCCAGGACACACAAGGGAAGAAATAATACTTTGTACGATGTCGCAATTATTTCTTGATTACTCTATTTTAAAATCATTTTTATTCTAATAGAAATACAAAATATATAATACAAACAATAAAATGGAGAAAAACACTCCTATTTCTACCCATCTATTTTATCCATCATTCATTTCATGAGACTTCCATATTTTTATCTCCCGTCAAAATCACAGGCCTACTCTATACCTTCATCTGGGGGTTTCAAAGTCACTTGAAACTCAACATGTCCAAACACATGGTCAAGATCTTTTAAATCCTAGCCCTGACCAATTCCTATCAATTTGACATGTAAATGTCTCTAATATTCCACATCTGTCCAGTTCCACTGCTGCCTTAACTGTCACCTTTTTAAAGAATTTGAAAGTTTGGCTTTCCTATATCTAATTATTTTTGTCTCTAATCCATTATTCAGACTGCAGGCAGATAGACCTTTTCTAAATGCAATCTAGTCCTATTGCTCCCTGCTCAAAAATTACAGTGGCTTGCATTGCTTTAGAATATATGCCAAGCCTGACCAGTGTGGCATAGTGGTTGAGCACAGACCCATGAACTAAGAGGTCACCGGTTTGATTCCCTGTCAGGGCACAGGCCCTGGTTGCAGGCTCCATTCCCAGTTGGGGGCTTGATGGAGGGAGCTGATCCATAGTTCTCTCTCATTAGTGTTTCTATCTCTCTATTGTTCTTTCTTCCTCTCTTTCTAAAAATATATAAATATATATAAAAGAATACATGTCAAGACAGTATTTGGCCCAGCAGATCTGGCTTCTCCCCTTGCTACAGTTCCACTGGCTGGCTTTCAGTGGCTTCAGTAAAGAATGCTTCTATCTACTACGGAACCTTTGTCCACATTGTTCATTCTGGAACATTTTTAAATCCTTCCCCCCAAAGTTAACCTCGTGAGTGGTCAGGACATCCTAACTCTGTCTTAGTACTACAGTCCTTTCCAAAATAAGGTTGATTAGAGTTTGGATGGACAATCAAGCTTTAGGTTGTCTATTTCCTGTACTAGCTCCTCTAGTGACCACATGCTTGATGAAGGTCTCCAACTGTCTTGGGTCACCTCTGTATCCTCTGTACCCTGCCCCATAGCTTGAATAGAGTATGAAATAAAATATTTTAATGAAAATAAATGGAAACAACAGGAATAAGGAGAAATTTGGACAGAATCATATTTTAAAGGGCTGAATTCTTTTTTTTTTTTAAATATATATATTTTTTTATCAATTTCAGAGAGGAAGAGTGAGAGACATCAATGATGTGAGAGAATCATTGATCAGCTACCTCTTGCACGCCCCACACTGGGGATCAAGCCCATGACCCAGGAATGTGTACTGACAGGGAATGGAACCATGGCCTCCTGATCATGGGCCAATGCTCAATCACTGAGCCATGTCGGCTGGCCAAAGGGCTGAATTTATATTTATAAAATTTGTTCTGCTTCGAAGTCTAACAAGATAAAAATGATATCTTTTTAGTAGCAAAAGCTATTAAAACTGGTTGAAGAAAACACTAAATCTCTATCTCCTTACAGTTTCTTCAACAGGAAATTGTTTGACACAGAATGGGGTGAGGGGTAGGTTTTAGATATGTTCAGAGGTGGGAACAGATACTAGTTAACTTTCTAGAGTTCTCATCATTTACTTTGAATCCATGTCATAAATACATCTGTTTTTGAGGGTTTCGTGATGACAAATTGAGATCTGTTGGGGAAAGAGTAAATTTAAGGGATAAAAGTAGCAAGATGAGGGCCTGGAAGACAGTAAAATATGTGCAGTAGACAGTCCTCTTTTCAGTAAGGGTGTGTGTGTGTGTGTGTGTGTGTGTGTGTGTGTGTGTGTGTGTTGGGGGGGGCACATGTGTTATTTTTGCTTTGTTTCCTCTCTGCACCCAAGCCACCCCCTGACCTTCGACTTGAAACAGCAGATCCCACTTGGTCTGTGATGACAAAGTTATCGATTTTCTCCACCACCTGCTTCAAGGTTGGTCAAGCACCTGGGCTTGGAGAAAACCAATCATCGACGCCACCCTGAGTGACAGGTGCCGCTTCGCCCCGCCCCCTCGCTAGGGCGGGCGCCAGGCCCGCGGCCCTCACAGGCCCCAGGGACGTCGGACTCGGGCCAAACCAAGTGGAGGGGGGGCTGGCGACCCTACCCCCCCCGGCCCCTCTTTTACGGCCCCCGATTTCTTAAGTCCACCTTGGCCCAGTCTCCTTGAGTTCAAGTGTAAGGGTTTCAAAAGCTCCGGGTCCGGGCCCCCTCCCACGCGGCCACACCCGTCTTCTCAGCTGGCCATCCGGGCCATCTAGCTCTCCCCCCCGCCGCCCCCTCGGTGGCCTCGCCCAACAGCTCGCCCACCGGAACTCGCGCGCCTCACTTCCGGGAGGCGCCTCCGAGGGCGTGGAGCGCGGACGACGAAGAGGGCCGGCGGCCTTAGGGGCGGAGCGAAGCGAGGAGCACGTCCCCGCCCGCAGGGCCTGAGCCATGAGCGCGCAGCCACCCGACGCCTCCCGGGGCGGAGGCCGGGGCGGAGGCCGGGGCGGGGGCCGGGGCGGCGGCGGCGGCGGCGGCGGCCGAGGGGCCCCCGGCGGCCGAGGCTTCGTGGCCGCCTCAGTGCAGACCCCCCCTGGCCCGGCCCCCGCCCCGGGCTCCAGCGCCATGTCTGAGAGGCGGCCTGTGTCTTATCTGCCTTCCAGCACCCTCTCCCCGCTGGCCGGCCCGGACGCCGAGGACTCCTGGGGCTCACACGAGCCTCCCCCGGCCGCTGTCGCTTCCGGCCAAGGATCCGACGCCGACCTCCGGGGCGTCCAAGCCTTCGACCAGAGGACCCGGGCCTCCCGTTCAGACACTCCCTCCAACGCCTCCGAGGGGGTGGCCCCCGACAGCCTCCCGGTAACGGCCACCGAACCTCCCCAACCCAGCGACACCCCGAAGGCGATGCCCGTCCAGGAGCCCGCCCAGCCCTCCGCGGGCAGCGTGTTCCGAGAATCAGAACTGTCCTCGTCCGTCGAGCCCAGTAGCACGTCGGGCATCTCTATCCGGGAGTGCCCCCGCCGCGCATCCCTTCCCTACACCCCGGACTCGGTGGTGATCCCCGGGGCGCCGACCAACACCCCCCAGGGGTCGTCCCAGGAATCCCTGCGGTCCTTAGCAACCCGCTTGTCCCTGGGGGTTGCGCTGCGACCTAGCCATCTCGTGAGCTCTTCCCTAGCTTCGATTCAGGGGTCGCCCCCGTACCCGGCAGGCGGCAGCGAGAGGAGCTCGGTCCAAGAAACCACCGCTTCCTCCCACTCGTCGCTAGAGACCGAGCGCGGGTCCTCCCCGGCCTCCCTGCTCAGCACCGCCCGCAGCTCAGTGCAGGAGCGGCCCGTGTCGGCCAGCTCCTCGCTGGTGTTCAGCCAGGGCTCCCGCCAGTCCTCGCAGCTCAGCACCCTGCGCAGCTGGTCCCTAGACACGCTCTCGGCCTCCGGCTCTCCCCGGGGGCTGGCCCCGGAGGCCCGCCCCTTTCGGCATTCTGGCCCCCAGCCTCCGCCCCTGGACTCCGCCCAGGTGCTGGGCAGAATGGCCGGCGGCCGGATGCCCATGGAGGCGTCGGGGCCGGCCCGGGACTCCCGCGGGGTGTCCGTCCAAGTGTGCGCTCCGCCCTATGGGCGGGACCCCGACTGGACGTCAGCGGACGAGCTGGCTCCGCCCCCGGGCTCCGCGAGAGAGTGGGTAGAAGAGCCGTCCCCAGCCCTGGCCAGCCGCTCTCCCCGGGAGACTGTCCAGCAGAGCATGGCGAGTCGGGAGCAGGCGAGTGCCTCCGGCCACATGTTCGACGTGGTCGTGATAGGAGGTGGCATCTCAGGTCAGTGTGAGCCTCAGAGGCAGCCCGGGAGGAGGGGGTGTCTGCAGCGCCCTGGCGTTTGGGGAGGACGGGGTGTCTCTCTGGGGCATCGGAGAGAGGGCAGCCACTGCCCCAGACCCAGCAGCGCAGAAGCGGGGTGTGCATTTGGGTGGGGGTGTGCATTGGGAGAAGCTGGAACCATCGCCTGTCGCTGCTCTTCCATGCTAACCATGAGCTCTTGCTGTGCCGTTATCTGAAGCACTTTAGGTGGATTTTCGTGGTCCTCCGCAGTCCTGACAGGGGGTTGGAATGGTCGCCTCCATTTTACAAAACTGAAGTGTTTAGAGTCCAGTCACCTAGCCGGGAAGTGGCTGAAGGATAGTCTCCCCTTTAAGGCTCTCACTTCTGATTCCCGAGGTGGCTGCTCTGCCTCGCTGCTTGCATGTCTTTGGCCCTAAACAGGCAAAGGACATCAGTATCCGGATTTTTGGAGTGTTGATGTAGTAATCATGTTATTCCAGCCCTGCTCTTTTTAAAGTGCCTTTCCTTAGAAAATTGGGTAAGTGAACAGGAAGGAGGAAGAATGGCTAAAGGTAAAGGTTCAAATACATGCTGGCAGATGACAACTAGAATTCTGGTGGTGAGCACAATATAGTGTATACAGATATCAAATATGAATGCTGCATACCTGAAACTTACATAATATTATTAACCTGTGCTACCTCAATGAGAAAGATCCAGAAAAAGGGGGGCAGGGTTTAATTTTATCCTACTCCCAGTGTATTTTTTAGAACTTGCAGGAAGATGTAGGGCATATATTGCCCAAAGAGAATCAATCCCTTTGTGAAGCTGGGATCAAGGTCAAGTCAGGGTATGCCCTCCTGTGTCTTTTAATAAGAGTCTCCCCCCAATCATGATTGATATATTAAATGGTCACTTGTGTTGTCATAATTCATATAAATGTTTGAAATTCACACATTATGTTTCAGCCCCAGCGAGAATCCCACACTAATCTGTCCACAACTCAGAAGGGTGGTAATCATTTCTGAAGTGTAGCTGCAGGGTCTGATTTAGAAAGAGGGAGAAAGGCAGGAAAGGAGTAAGTAGGGTGGCCCACAGAAGCCATTTTTATGTACACTCCTTTTGAGGAGACTCCCAACATGCTTACAAAAATTAATTTTGGGTGAAGATAGCTTTTTACTGGGCCTGTTGAGGATAAAGAGTCTCTTATCACCGGAAAAGAGATTGACATAAGCTGTTGCTTTGACAACTCAGCCAGTGCCAGCAAAAACATGCATGTATGTTTATGAATATTTCCCAGCCCTGGGCAGGTGGCTCAGTTGGTTAGATGGATAAATCAAGGATTGATCCCTGGTCAGGGTACATACAAGAAGAACCAACCAATGAATGCATTTATTCATGGAACAACAAATTGATCTCTCTCTCACTCAATAAACAAAAATGTAGTAAGGAGTAGTTCCCTTGCTTTCTTTCATTCTTTCATTCACTCACTCACACAGCAAACACTTGTTGAGTGCCTGCAATGGACTGCTTTTCCAAAATCCTAAAGCAATATGATTCTGGAAAACAAATATGAGAATGTAATGTAAATTGATTAGTTCTGTCTCCTTTCCTATCTCCATACCATCCATATTTCACAATTCAGGGTTCTTTCTGAGATATTGTTCATGCCTTTTCCTAGTTCTGTGCCCCAGTATTTCTTCAGGAATATTTTATCTTTTATTTTTCCTCTTTCTGATTACCTGCTCTTTCTCCTTTACCATGGAGCTCATAATCTTCATGCTTTATGGCCTTACAACTGCAGGTCCCCTTTGGTTCTCACTCTAAAGAAATAACGAGCTTCATGCTGAATCTTATATTTTAACTTTGTATTCTTTTTCCTTAAGAAGGGCACCCACATTCTATAAGCTTCAGGCGCTTTGAAACCTGGCTCTGTCCATGGTTGCTGCTATTAATTTGGTGTTCTCCATTTGGGGGAAGTAAAGGGCATTTCTTGCGCAGGGTCCCTGTTCCAGAAGCCAAGTCTCAGTGCATCACTGACAATGGAGAAGGCACTGGGCTTCCTCTCATCTTAGCTCTATCCGTCAGATTGGAGTGATTTTTTAATGCAAAACTGACTAGAAACATTGCCTTATGGCTGTTGTGTCTCCCCAGAGAGTTCACAGCTGCAAGTCTGGCTCTTGATAAACTTTGCACACAGACTGGGTGTTTCATAAGCAGATGGGAGAGGCATTCCTTCCCAAGGGTTCCTGAGAGTCAGACACATCATCTTTGTGTGTGCTTAGCAGGATTTCATGAGTGCCTTAATAGCCCCTATGTCAGTTGTAAATGCTTTTGGATATTTCTTGTAACTTTTGTCAAGATTTGTACATTTTTTTAAATCCTTACCTGAGGATATTTTTTTCTATTGAATTATTTTTTTTTTAGAGAGAGTAGAGAGGAGGGAGGAGGAGGGAGGGAGGGAGGGAGGGAGGGAGGGAGGGAGGGAGAGAGAGAGACATTGATAAGAGAGAAACACATCAATTGGTTGCCTCCACATGTGCCCCAACGGGACCCAGGGGTTGAGTCTGCAACCAGGGTACGTGCCCTTGAACCGGAATTGAACCCTCAACCTTTGGCTTTCGAGCCGATGCTCTAACCACTGAAAAACTGGTGAGGACAGGACTTATATATATATTTAAATATATTTTATTGATTTTTTACAGAGAGGAAGGGAGAGGGATAGAAAGCTAGAAACATCAATGAGAGAGAAACATTGACCAGCTGCCTCCTGCACATCCCCTACTGGGGATGTACCCGCAACCAAGGTACATGCCCTTGACTGGAATTGAACCTGGGACCTTTCAGTCCACAGGCCGACGCTCTATCCACTGATGTTTGAGTATATATTTTTTTGTCCTCAGAGTATTCGTCCCAAGAATCCAAATATGTAGTTATGTAAGAATTCTGTTGACCAGAGACCATTTCACTGAATAATAGAACATTAACTTAAAAAATTTAATATGATGCATATTATACACGTTCCAGAGTGGTAACAAATGTCAAAGTTAAAGAAACATGTCACTTTTAAGAATAAACAGACAGAACTAGGAGAGTGAGCAGAGCATAAGCCAGAGCTACATTAAAACTTTGTTTCAATACTCTTAGCTTGTGCTCTAGGCATTGTTCATCTGAAAACCTGCTCAGGGGACTTCATTACTGTAAATATGTGAACAACGTTTCACAATATGAATTCAGCTTTTGAAAAGTTTGTTCTGAGGTATAGTTTTTTGTTTTTAATTTTATTTTTTTAAAGGCAGAGGGTAGAAAAATGCTAAGTTAAACAGATGTCTTCACTGTAGGACTTACCAAAGCCTTTAATATGCCAGTGCACACCACACATTTCCCAGAAAGAGAAACAGCATGAGATATTCCAACCTCCATGAATATTGATACTTTCCCTTGAGCATCTTGAGGACTAACGTTCCGTAAAACATTTGGAATCTACTGCTTTAAACCCCAGTGCATCTTAGTGTGCAGATTCTAAGGAGAGCGGTGTGGAGCGCCCTTGGTGTATTTTAAGTTTCAATGAAAAACTAGAGCAAATAATGAATTAAACGGTAATTGCATTCCCTAACTTGGGTGAGATCTATTTATGTAAAGTGAAGATGAATGCTGAACAATAATTAAATAGATTAGGGCTGTCTAGACAGTCTGTCCAATTCAGTACAAATTGAAGTTAATTGTTAGTTTTTATCTATTTATCATTTGAGACAACACTGTCTTTGAGCTTATTAAAGGAATTAGAAGATTTGGTGTTTTCAAAAGCAGTGATTATTTCTGAAAGGAAATAGAAAATATAGATCTAGATGTGTGTATGTATGTATGAATGTATGGATGGGTGGGTAGATAGATAGGAAAGGTTGTATGTACCAAATAAATGTGTGTGCACACGATATTCTCTTGTATTTTGCAAAAACATTCAATACTAGTCCAAAGACCAGAAAATGTACTAGTAGCATTTAGACTCTGCTGACTTCTAATATTTATAATGTGCCAGGTGGCAATGTATGCTAAGAAGAAAAATATAACAGGGATGGTGTCACAGATGATTATATCACTTATCTATATTAATCGTAGGGTCACTGGACATTTTTTTCCCGTGAGGAATAGGCTGCTTTTCAAGGTTTGTTCTGGTGAGGAGGTGGAGGCACTAGATCATCTGTCGTGGAAGGAAATCCAGAAATTTAACTGGAAAGGGTGGCATGACTGAAATGGGCCAATTTCTTTTTCTTTTATTTTTTTTTCCCCCTGAAAGAGAGCATTGTGAATATGCTTAAAGATGCAAGGTAAAGGAAAAACCTGGGTGAGGTAAAGAAGGCAGGAGTGTCAAATAGGTTTCACAGTGACAAGATAATTGAGATTTATATCTCAGGAAGCAAAGAACCTTTTCCTTGAAAGTTTAATTACAGATGTAAGCCAGCAGGCAGACATCCCCTGAGGGGTCCCAGACTGCAAGAGGGTGCAGGCTGGGCTGAGGGACCCCCCGCCTCCCAGTGCATGAATGTCTGGGAAATGTGTGGTGTGCATGAATGTTTGGATTATAACCCAAAGTATAAAACAGCCATTCATGAGTCCATACTAATATAAATAAATGAATAAATAAATAAATAAATAAATATCTCTTGAGCAGAAGAATTCTAAATAATTCATGTCCATATTTCACCCTCAAGGAAGTAGGACATAACTCCACATTTTTTTATTTTATTTTTCAATTACAGTTTTTATTCAATATTAATTTGTATTAGTTTCACGTATACAGCATAGTGGTTAGAAAATCAAAGTGATTCCTTCTCACCCCAATATTTCCAGTACCCACCTTGCACTAAAATCCTCTTAAATGTGATTTGATTATCATCAAAAACCAAAAAATATATACTTTAAAAATTATAGTATACTTTTTTAACCAACCTTATGATAGATAATAAAAGTATGATAGATAATATAATATATATGACAGATTATAAAATTGGTGGTCCAATTAATCACTGTGCTCAGAATTTATTAGAAAGCAAAATCAATGGGTTGTGTATTATGCCCTGCATTAGCTTTATGTGTAGACCTGGTTAAATTTTGTATGTTTCATCTTTATATGTTAATATGTTCTTTGATTTTGTTTTTCTTCTTTTCCCCTTTTAGGATTATCTGCTGCTAAACTGTTAGCTGAACATGAAGTTAATGTTTTGGTTTTAGAAGCTCGGGGCAGAGTTGGAGGTAGAACGTACACTATAAGAGTAAGTGGCTTAAATACTTTATATATAACTAGAGACCCAATGCGTGCAAGAATGGGCCTTCCTTCTGGCTGCCAGCACCGCCTTCCCACGCTGCTCCGCTGCTCCGAGGCCTGGAGCGCCTGTGTATGCAAATTAACCACCATCTTTGCTGGGTTAATTTGCATACTCCTAATTGGCTGGAGGGCATCATGAAGATATGGTCAATTAGCATGTTTCTCTTTTATTAGTGTAGATATCTCACACAATCTAGAAGTGGGGTCATTGAATACACAGAACTAAAAGAGATCTCAGTAGTTCACAAAGTGAAGCCATTTGTCCTCCATAGCCCTAAAGTACTCCATCAAATAAGTGTCCCTTCTCTACTTTTTAAAAAAATATATTTTATTGATTTTTTACAGAGAGGAAGGGAGAGAGATAGAGAGCTAGAAACATTGATGAGAGAGAGTCATCGATCAGCTGCCTCTTGCATGGCCCCCGCTGGGTATGTGCCCGCAACCAAGGTACATACCCTTGACTGGAATCGAACCTGGGACCCTTTAGTCCGCAGGCTGATGCTCTATCCACTGAGCCAAACCGGTTTTGGCGAAGTGTCCCTTCTTTTCAACAAGCACTCAGTAACAGCCTCTGACCTTCGGAAGCTTACATTTTAATGAAGAATACAAACAAGGACAAATAACTTTAGTACAAATAATTTTATTTCCATACTAAAGATTTAAACAGTTTGTAGTGTCTTGGGGCGGGTTATGGTTTGACTGGACTCAAAGCAAACATACATGCCCATGTGTGTGCACACACACGCACTTAGTATAGGTTCCTTATTTATTTATCCAAGGATTCACAACTTAAAAGAAGTATAGCTACAGAAAGGACAAACAAATACAACATATTTTTCTGCAACTTTTTCCATGGTCCTTGTTCTCTTAGAGGTATGCTGCTGCCAGAGATACTTTTTGCTCAGGTGGGGTCAGCTAGACTTGAGAGGAAACCCAGTTTTCATTACATCACTGCTTTTTATACGGGCACACTGTGTTTTATTGCACATTGATTTATGGTCCTTTGCAGACATTGCATATCTTACAAGTTGAAGGTAGAACTCTCTACCAGGAAAAGGATTATGACTTGCTGAAGGCTCAGATGATGGTTAGCATTTTTTCAGCAATATTTTTTTAAAAAACTTAAGGTGTAGCCGAAATCAGTTTGGCTCAGCGGACTGGAAGGTCCCAGGTTCGATTCTGGTCAAGGGCATGTACCTTGGTTGTGGGCACATCCCCAGCAGGGGGTGCGCAAGAGTCAGCTGATCGATGATTCTCTCTCATCGATGTTTCTAACTCTCTATCCCTCTCTCTTCCTCTCTGTAAAAAAATCAATAAAATATATATTTTTTTAAAATTAAGGTGTATACATTGTTTTTTAGACATAATGCTGTTATACACTAAATAGACTGCAGTATAGTATAAACATAACTTTTATATGCACTGAGATATCAAAAAAAAAAATGACATGACTCCTTTTATTGGATATTTGCTTCATTTCTGTGGTCTGGAGCCAAATGCACAATCTCTCCAAGGTATGTTGGTACTCGGGTTTATAGCACCATTCTGGAAAAATGAACACTAACTACTGTTTGCTACTAATTCATTGAAATGGTTGCAGGTGGTTGACTCTGTGGTAGCTGATGGAAGTACACAGTGGGGGGACATAGGGTGGGAAGGAAATAGGGCCAAACATGGAAGTGTGGGGAGCATGCAGGCTTAAGCGGGGGCAGAGGCAGAGGTTAGAGGAAAGCAGTAGAGGCAGAGGAAGAGGACCAGACTAGAGCAGTGCCATGCAAATCAGTAGAGGAAAGAGGAATGGATGATAGAGCCCAATACCATGAGCATTTGATGTACAATGAAGACTGAAAAGACCCTGTGTTTGTCGGTTAGAAAAGCATTTATGAGACTCTTTGTTAGAGCACACAGTGTGTTAAAGTCTGGGGCTTGGCTGTCAGGACAAAACTGAACTGTTGAAATGACTGGAAGGAGAGAGAGAAAGCATCCTTCTAATTAGAATATGTATCTGACTTATAAAAGGATATATACACAGTGATATTAAGAATGGCTTAAGCAATACAAGCCTTCAGTTAATTTACATAAGAAGTCTGGTGGTAGGTAGTCCAGGCTAGGGCAGGGGTTCAGCTTTGTCATCAAGACTATGCTCTTTCAGTCTTTCAACTCAGCCATTCTTTGTCGGCCTCTTGCCTCGTGGTAACCAGATGGGTGCTGCCTCTCTAAGCACCAAATTCTCTTTTAAGGCAGAAAAGAGCATGAAAAGGTGACCCACGTCTTACCTGCAACTAAGTTTTTTCTTTACTGGAAGACCCCAGCAGACATTTGCCTGAGTCCCATCACCCAGAGTTGGGGCACATAGCTATCCTTGGCTGCTAGGGAGTCTGGGAAAGTAACTTTTTCAAGATGCATACTAAAAGCAGTATGGGAAAAGGAATATGAATGGGTATGGAATAGCTAACAAAGAACATCTAAACCCGGACATTATACCAGCTGTTTGCCACACCATGCTATGCTCCCCTCAGTCATTCACTTCCTACATATTTGGGTGTACAGGGCTGTACGATGGGCCCATTTCCATTTTGCTCAGCTCCAAGAGTGCTCTATAGCCTTGCTACTCAAAGTGTCCTATAGACCAGCAGTTTCAGAAGCACCTGAGAGCTTGATAGAAATGCAGAACCTCAGGCCCTGCCCCAGACCTGCTGAAGCTGAATCTGCATTTTGCCAAGAAATACTACAGAAGTGCTGCTCTATGACACTTGTCTGCTTGCTTGCTTTAAGTTACTATAAATCCAGATTAATTGTATCTGGAGAATTTCCGAGTACTTCCTCAGGTGTAGCCTGCTGGGAGGCTATTGGTCTCAGAGTTAGGAGCCTGGGGTTCTGGCCCCTGTACTGGCTTGATACACTGACTTACCCCTGGTAAGTCCTATTAGCGCCTTATACCCAAGTTTTCTCATCTAAGCACTGAGATATAATTTATATGGAGTTCCCTTCCAACTCAAATTCTAATTGAAGGCAAGTGTTTGTAGTTCAAAAGAAGATTTGCATATTCTGCCTGTACGACCTTATTAGATATGATTCTAGTGTCATTTTCTGGAAACTTCCTTCATTTTAGAGCTAGTTATTAAGTTGTCCCTTAGCCCTACTTTTCTTATCTCTAAAACCTTTTGGTTATTAAATAGGAGCATCAGTCATGCTGGAGATTTTCAGTTAAGAACAAATTTATTTGCATGAAGGAAATGAGAATTCTAACTTGTTATTGCCCCAGGCTGCTTTTTCATGCTGCATAATTTATATATGTCAATACTGTACAGGAACTATTGTGTATTGATCATGATATTATAGTTCCCTTTAGGTATATGGGAAAGTAACTCTGAAATGCTTGGAAACTAATATTTAACATTTATAATATTTCAAATGAATAAGAGAAAAAAGGGTTTTAGGAAATAGGGACGGAAATGGCATTTAATAAGAAACTGATTTGAATATTATTATAATTGTCTCTAATAGCATAATCAATTAGGATTACTTGGCGAGGAGGTGTCATAAAAATTACTCTGGATCTTTAAGTACTGAAATGTCAAATTTTATATTGTCACTTGGCAGCTGGGTTAAGATAGATTTTCTATTTGTTCAGAGCTTCCCAATTTTTTTTCTGGTGTGACACCTGTATAATTTTTCAGAACAAAGTTAATGAAGTGAAATGCTTATAGGGCTACCACAAGCATAGTACATTTGTTTTCTAATAGGGTTACATATCCATGTCCACTTCAAAGACTGAGTAATGAGATTGAAGTCAAAACCCTAAAGACTGAAGTACAACATGGCAGAATGTGGTATTATAATATTAGTATCTACAGACTGAATCTGTGGCAACTCCTTTAGAATGTTTCAACTTTATTAAGAAACATTCTGTTCGTGTTCCATATTTTCTTTTACTGCTTCATGTTTCAAAGTTCTCTTGCAGTGTTTGTGGAAGCCTAGAAATTTATAGGAGCACTAATGCCAGTTTCCTTCTTCATATCTTAAAAAAGATGTGGAGACTAGAGGGAGTTTGGAGGAAGGCACCAATAGTTAGTAAAGGGGACGGAAGGGTTATATGAGAGACATAATGAAAGGTCAAAGGAACACTTTATTTCTAGTATTATGGCAGAATGCAAACCCCAGTTACCTCTCCCCATTGAAGTAAGTAAAATGCTGAATAAAATATGCATGCTGCTCTGTCAGGAAAGTTAGAAATTTGCAGATCTCCTAGACCTTTGAACAGATATCTCAAATTTAACATATCTAAATTAAATTTTTGATCTTCTGCATCAACATCTCTATTCCAGCAGCCTTCCTCATATCAGAGGATGACAACTTTTTAAAAAATGTGGAGTCATGCTCAACATTCATTCCATCAGAAAATTCTTTTAGCTCTGCCTTCAGAATAGATCCAGAATATATCCAGAATCCATCTCTAGGGCAAATTACTGCAATAGCCTTCTAACTGATTTCCCTGTTTTCACAATGTCTTCTTATAACCAAGTCTTATTGCAGCATTTAGAATGAGCCTTCCTAATCTAAATCAGACCTTGGTACTTTTCTGGTGCAAACCTTTCAATGGCTCTCCTACTCAGAGTAAAGCCAGTGCTAAGTGAAATAAGCCAGTCAGAAAAAGACAAACACCATATGATTTTGCTTACATTTGGAAGCTAATGAACAAAAGAAACTAACAAACAAAAGAGCTATAGACTTATAGATAGAGAACAGACTATAGCTGTCAGAGGGACGAAGTTGCAGGGGGAGGAAGTTGCAGGGTTAGGTGAAATATGTGAAGTGATTAAGCAAAATAAAATAAAATAAATTATAAATGCCCTATAGACGAGATTTTAAGCATACATTTCTAAATAATAGAGTAAGCAAACAAAAAAGGCTGAGCACAATTAAATCTTATTCTAATGGATATATATAGAATATGCATAAAGCTTATAGACTGTATGTTGTTTACAAGTGGGAAAATCTTTGAAAATTGACCATGTGATATGTCATAAAGTGAGCCTCAAGGATTGTTATAATATAAACCACATTCTTTGACCACAATACAGTTATGATAGAAACATGACTAAAGACCACTCTTTCTATGGAAATTAAAATACAGACTTTTAGAAACATGGGTTTAGGGAGAAAGTGTAATGGCAATTTTAAAATACTTAGAACTGCCCAATAAGGGAAATGACAGAATAAATTTGTGGATATAACTAAAACGATACTTAGAGGAAAATTTATAGCCTAAATAGAAATGGGAAAAAAGTTCAGTATGAATAAGCTAAGCATGCAAGTAGTTAGAAAATTAAATCAATAAGAAAATAAACACCTATTAAAGAGGATCAGTGAAACAAAGGTTGATTCTTTGGAGAGATTTATGGAAAATAGATAACTGTCATAATATTTTTAAAGAAAAAAGAGACATCCAAAAATTAATAAATGAAAAGAAGATGTCATGAACTTTAAATCAATAGTTTTGAAGCATACACAAAATGCATATACCACAAGAAAAATATAATTTATCAAAATTAACACTGAGTTAAGGAGATATAGAAAGTATGAGTAGTGCTTTTGCCTCAAGATAAATTGAATTTTTAGTTTATTTTCCCACAATGAAAACACTAAGCCCAGATAGCTCTATAGGTGTGTCCTACCTAATGTTCAAAGAGATCATTTAATTAATTTTGTATATTAATTATGATTGTGAAAGTATGATTCATGAGATTAGCAATACTCTAATGTACAAAATAGACAAGGGCTGCCCGGATGATCCTCAGTGGTCTGGGGTGCAGGCTTCAAAATAGACAAGGGCTGTAGAAGAAAGGAGAATCATGGGATGATCTCAATCTCATTTGTGAACATAAACAAAAAGTTTGAAAAAAAAGGTAGCAAAGTATTTTCTGCAATAAGATAATATGAGGTTAGGTTACTCTAGGAAATCAAGGTTGAATAATACTTGACAATATTATGGAAATAAGAGATTAGGTAAATTGTCCCAACCCTTTTCCATCCAGAAGGAAAAGATAATCTACTTAACCCCCTACCAGTGTGGTGGGGAGGGAGGAGTTTGCTGAGCAAGTGAGAGGCTGAGTAGTACTTTCAAGTCTTACAAAGCTAGGGCAACTGAAGGTCAAGTCCAGAGTTCAGAAAAGTATGTGTGTGAGTTTAGGGAGGTATTGGTAAATTCCTTGGGCTTTGAGCTGGACTGTGTCCTAGGACTGAGGGCAAATTGCAAAAGGATTAGTCCATGTGTGCACTTCAGCCCAGCTTCAGACCATTCATGCACAGAAAAGGCACTGAAGTTCTCTGGTATTGTTAACGAACCTCGGTGTTGGGCAGAAGCAGACATGAGTCGTTTCTAAGAAAGATATCATCCTCCTAGGATTAAAATCTCCATGTTTTTCAAATTCAGTGAGTGGCATGCAATAAAATACAATTAGGCAAACCAGAAGAGGCAACAGGAATAAGAACTGATATAAACAACAAAATATAATAGTATGACACATATGGACTCATGACAAACACATGAAGGACTCATAACTCGCCAATATTTAATTTACTGATTAAATCATTGGGGAATGTGTTAAATAAAGAAGCTGGGGAAAAGTAGAACTGGATTTAAGAGGAGTAAAGTAAAATTCAGTTTAAGAAAGAATGCTTTGTTAGGCATATGAATCTCTAATACCTTTTTGTACTCTTTTTCCTATGATTCATTCTTCCCTGCAAGTGTTTTAATTTTATTTTTTTCATAGAAATGTAGGTTTATTTATTAAAGAAATCTTTATTGTTTAGATTATTACAGGTGTTCCTCTCCCCCCCCCATACTTCCCCTCTGCCTGATTCCCCACCCCACCCCATGCCTTTACCTGTCCCCACGCCACTGTCTTCATCCATAGGTGTAAGTTTTTTGTCCAATCTCTTCCCACACCCCTCACACTCCCTTCCCCCTGAGAATTGTCAGTCCACTCCCTTTCTATGTCCCTGATTCTATTATATTCATTAGTCTATTCTGTTCATCAATTTTTTATTCACTTGATTTTTAGATGCCCTGCAAGTGTTTAAAATCAGCTGAAGAAACCAGTGGTGTAGGCTGATTTAAGATTTCATCTTGGGAAATCAGAGAATTAGGCCTAATAAACCCTTGGGTGACTCCTCCAGTAACACCCCCCAAAGAAAAGCATATAAAAAAAAACCTGAACACTTTACAAAGGTTCTAGATTGGCAGAATTTGCACTACTGTGTTCTTTGTTCTTTATGTATGTCATTGTTGAACTGGCTTCACCAATAACTATGCAAATGGCATTGATTGGTGATAAATATCATACAGGATTTATGAGTGGAGAGAAAGGATTACTATTTTTGAGTTGCAATTTATTAGAGAGATGTAAGGCACATTTCAGTTATAAAAAATAAATGCTTTATTGCTATAAGACAAACTTTTTTTTTCAAGTTTTAACTAAAGTTTTCTGAACACATTTTTCTCTTTGCAGAACAAACATGTTGGTTACGTGGATGTTGGTGGGGCTTATGTGGGACCCACCCAGAACAGGATCCTAAGGTTATCTAAGGAGCTGGGCTTAAGAACCTACAAAGTGAACGTAAATGAATGTGTTATTCAGCATGTCAAGGTAAGCCTGACATTTTACTCAAGGGCCCAGTGGGGGAGTATTGTGTTTGGGAAAATGTGTGGTTGGGTTTTTGACTTTTTTTCTCAAAGCAATCATAAAGATAGGTTCTCGGCTTTCAAGTAGCGTTCTACCTTTCGTTTCTTTTTTATTTACCTTAAAAAAGTGTCTATGAACTCCTGGAGGTCCTTACTTTAAGAGGTCCTGTCTCAGCCTGGCTCTCTGCTACATCACCCAATGTGGCCCTTGAAGGCTTCACCCCCTATCCCAGTCCGACCAGAATAGGATGGGAGGCTCTCAGTTTCCTTTCCGCCCCTCTCTGGAGTATGGGGTGCCTATGATAGACACACACACACACACACACACACAACAGCCCATGGAAGCCCTTGAAGCATCTATAATGCAATTCTAAGGTTCCAAGTTGTACAATAGTTTGGGGGCCACTTTTTAAAAAATATGTTTTTAATAGTTTTTTAGAGAGAGGGGAAGGGAGATATATATAGAGAGAAACACTGATGAGAGAGAAATGTCAATCGGCTGCCTCCTGCATGCCCCTACCTATTGGGGTTTGAGATTGCAACCCTGGCATGTGTCCTAACTGGGAATTGAACCAGTGACCTCTTGGTGCATGGGATGATACTCAATCCATTGAGCCACACTGGCCTGGCTGAGGCCACTTTTTAAGACTCTGACTAGGTTATTCATTCTTCTTTTTAAAAACATACTTTTTATTGATTTCAGAGAGGAAGGGAAAGGGAGAGAGATAAAAACATCAATGACGAGAGAGAATCATGATTGGCTGCCTCCTGCACGATCTGGGGGTCTTTTAGGCTGCAACCCACCCTTGACCAGAATTGAACCTATGATCCTTTGGTGTGCAGGCCAACGCTCTATCCACTGTGCCAAACCAGCTAGGCTAGGGCTTCATTTTTCTTATCTGGCATTTCTTTACACACCTTGGTGATTTTCTCTGTACCTAGCCTTGACACTGGCAAAGTCTAGCTTGGTTGTACAGTCTCCTACTGTTTAAGCAAATGATTGTTTAAACTCTAAATGCTGATATCCACTCAAGAAGCAGCAGCTGTTGCCAGTGTTAGCGTCTTTGTGAAGCCAAACAGAGCAGCTGGAGTCTGGAACTGTGTCTTAAGAAGGCAGGTTTCCAATCTGACATTGCAGCTCACATCCCGGAACTAGCATTGCCTACTCATTCTAAAATCAGGATTCCCATGCCATTATCTGCATCACTTCTCAATATACCCAGCTACCCCCAACTAAACTCCAGGCAATGAGGTGAGTCTGGTGTCTCCCAGGCCTTTTGGAGCTAGGAGTTAAGGATGCTCGTGATGTATGCACACCAATGCCCAATCAGGTAGGTCGGGAATCTTGGGAAACTGATAGCCACATGGTTTGGGATGCTTGGGAGTGTCTTGGCAGTGACATAAGAGGAAAAAACAAACCAATAGCTTTTAGAAAGACTGTGGGTACAGAGGTCAACAAAGGAATGAAAAAAAGTACAAAAAGTGTTTAGGAATACTGGCTTCAATGGGCCACAGTCAAGAAGGAAAAAATCCTGTTGCTTTCCCACTTCCTCTTTTCTGCAGGGCCTGGCTTTTCTCTGGACTGGTAATTAATAACAATGGTAAGAATAAGAGCAGCTAACATATTGAGTACTTTTATGTGTATTAGTACATTTAATATAGGGAGAGAGACCAAATCCTTTGCACTTAACTACTAGTTAAGTAGTCATGTAAATTTACTCTCCAGTCCAATTGGGAAGCAAATGAAGCTAATGGTTATCCTAGAACCTGAGCAGATTCATGCTCATAATCTCTTCCTCCCTAACTTTCAGGTGCTGAGAAAGTTTTTCTTTTTTTCCGGGAGCCTCACAATAAACACTTAAGTGATTTTTATACATCAACTCATTAAACACTTGCATCCACCCTGTGGGGCAGGCATGGTTATCTCCTTTTTACACAGGAGAAAACAGAGGCTCAGACAGGTAAAGTGGCTTGACAGGCCATATAACTAGTAACAATCGGCCTACTGCCTGACTGCATGCTCTTTGTGATTCCAATACACAGAGAGGCCAGATTATTATGATCTTTGAATGCATAATAATCTGGCCACTCAGTATGTGTGTGTGCGTATTAGAGACCCAGTGCATGAATTCGTGCATGGGTAGGGTCCAGCCAGCCTTGCCAGGGGGAGGGGGCATGGGTGGTTGCCAGCCTGCCTGCTGGTTGAACTCCTGGTTGAGGGGAAAATTTGCATATTAGCCTTTTATAGGATATACACTGAGTGGCCATATTATTATACGTTCAGAGAACATAATAATCTGGCCACTCAGTGTATATGGCTTAGGAAATGAGACTGAGGGTCCTTAATAAAGTGTACTGGCCCTCCAATAGTTTTTGGCTGAACACAAGCCCATTTGAAGGTATCTCACTATCTAGTTTCCTGAAGCAGTCTGCTCTGGACCAGATATCCTTCTAGGCTGGAACCACAGTGGTGGGCACATGAGCTAAGTTGCTGCTCACATGGAGCTGGCCATCTAAAAGTCAACAAAAACATATCCCCAGGTGAGGGTTAAAAAATTATATCTAGCATTACTGTCTTTGTCCTTCATGGATCTTGTGAAGAGAGTCCATATTCTAATTTTGGTTTAGTAGAATCTTATCCTATATAATAAAAGCCTAATATGCTAAGTGTCTGGTCATCCACTATGCTAAGTGGCCGTTCAACCAATCAAAACATAACATGCTAATGATATGCTAAGGCCACTCAACCACTTGCTATGATGTGCACTGACCACCAGGGAGCAGATGCTCTGACTGGTAGGTTAGCTTGCTGCTGGGGTCTAACTGATAGGACTGAGTAAGAGGGGTCAGACACACCCTGGGGCCCACTTGCGGTCCCTCCCTGGCTGGCCAACCTCCCATGTCTCTCCCTGGCGCTGATCATGCACTGGTGGGGTCCCTCAGCCTGGCCTGCACCCTCTTGCAATTCAGGACCCCTCGGGGGATGTCGGAGAGCCAATTTCGGCTTAATCCCTCAGGCCAGGCCAAGGGACCCCCAGTGGTGCATGAATTTGTGCACCAGGCTTCTAGTTATATAAAAGGTTCTTGATTGGTATTGACAGTGAACAGGTTTTATGAATACTGTGAATTGGATATGGCTTTATTTGGGAGATTAGCTCTGATTTGTGAATTATTATAAATTAATCATGTATGTTTAACCTAAAATGTGGATTTGAAGTGGCGTCAGCTAGATAGGTTTAAAATGTCCTCTGTAACGATTCTTTTTCTTTGGATGTTGTAAGGGAAGCAGATGGACTTGAATACCTCTTGGATTGGTTCATCCATTTAAGTATTAGTAAATAAAATGCACATTATTGTGATTGTTTCACGAGTGAGTTTCATTGGGTTGTGGAAGCTTTTTATTAAATTTTGCACTGCCAGGTCTTGGGGAGAAAGGAGGAAATGCTTGATGTTTTGCCCATCAGCTCCTTCAGATCATTATAATGCAGGCAGGGGTGGAGAGCAAGAACACTCCAGAGAAGGAGCAACACTGTTTTTTCAGGAGCCGCTGTGAAGGATAAGTTAGCATTTTCATTTATTCTGACTTTCTCCTTTTCACATCCTCTCAAAGTAAAATTAGAGACTATAAATATATACCACACAGACTTTTTAAGAGAATGGTGTGATAAAGATTCATTTGAAACAACGTACGCTTTCCTAATAGTAACAGCTCAGCAAGCATTTTTTTCCTTGCACTTATTCTCTTTCCATATCTATTTACTCCAGGTTTCTATGCCAACGACTGTAATCAAAGCCTTTTCAGAATGTGGAATGCTAAGTAATTTCTTGTAGTTATTGCTAAAGGGTGAACTTTGGTTTAGCCAGTGGGCTGTGTTGAAAGCAGAAGATGTATTTTTTGTTTGTTTGTTTTAATGTTTGCCACGTATGTGTTGGATCCCTTGCTTACAATAGTGTTTCTTTTGGAGTAGGGACATTTAGTTATCTATTTACTTATTATTCTTTTTAATCCTCACCTGAGAACAGATAGAAAAAGAGAGGGAGAGGGAGAGGGAGAGAGAGAGAGAAAGAGAGAACACACCAATTGGTTGCCTCCCATACACACCCTCACCAGGATCAAACCTGCAACCTAGGTATGAGCCCTGACCATGAATCAAAGCCACAACCTTTTCGTGTATGGGACAACACTCTACCCAACTGAGCCACAAGGCCAGGACTAGGGACATTTATATTAAAGGTGCTTTTAACACCTTTCCATACCAGTTCACAGAAGGTGTTTGTTTTGTCTTTAAATAAAGTTATACTTTTACTTTCAATCCCTCTCAGTAGGAAACACAAGAATTTAAAGGTGTTTAGGTACTTGAAGAGATGCTACTTATCATGTCTTTGTCTCCTTTTTATTCATCCCCCAAATTCATCTCTTCTGAGTTATCTCATTTGAGCTTCCCAAGTAATAAGCATTACCTCCCCCCCATATTAAAGATGAAAAAACAGAGGTTCAGGGAATTTAGAAGCCAAAATGAGGCTTTCCAGCACTCAAGCTCAGGGTTCTGTGGGCTAAACCACTTTTTCCCTTATTCAATGGGCAGAAATGCAGGCAGGGGTGGAGAGCCTGAGCTTGTTTATTAAAGAGTTCCTCTAATAAACTGTTTCAAGACACAACAAAAAGGACCTGCCATTTTGGCAGTAGGGGCTCCTGAGGCATGAGCTGTGCCTGGGGGACTTATGTGTTCCATTCACCAGGAGGCTTCCTCTCTTTTCTTGAGAAGTCCCTGAGTCCCACATCTGGAGCCCCATGGCCTTCAGGGAGCAGCTACACTTAGCAGGCTGAAGACTACAGATGACTTTTATTATTGTGCTAACTACTAAGTCCAGAGGTCTAGCGCCTGGTTTGGAATTATTGGTTATACTTTGTGATAAATGACTTATATAAATTCATTAGTGAAATTATATTCAAGATAATAGTAC